GCTCCAGGCAGGCAGGCATCAGAGGCTGGGCCCACAGAGTTGTTTATGGGGATCTGCAGAAACAGCTGAACACAGTGTGGGACATGGACAGTGATATGCCTGTTAGTGATGCAGGCTCCAGAGAGCCTGAAATGTCTGAGTGATACCTGCGAGTCTGGCTTGAACGTTCCCTAGGGGGAACTGCGCCCGGGCGCGCCGAGGGGTGGGTGCGAGAGAGAAGTTACTCAAGTTACTTGACAATGGCAGAGGCTTGATGAGGGCAAAGTTTGGTGACTCTTCTTTCTGCAGGCTGGTTTGCCGACCCCACGTAGATAGCAGCCTGGCACCGCCCATTGAGCAGTCAGAATATAGGCTGCAGAAGCAGTGTGTGTGCAGCAAACCCAGGCAGCATGGTGGAAGTAGGCCAGGAAAAGCATCTCCACAGCTCGTGGTGAGGCTGGCACTGAAGTTGCTCAGTGAATTTGCGTGAGGCCTCTCGTGTGCAGATGGCACCTTCTGCTTGCCCAGAAGAAGCTGCAGCAGCAGGAGCAAGCCTGTGTCTGGAAAAGGTCGATTTTCTAACCCAAAAACTCTGCTGCGGAAGGGAGCGGTGTGCAAATCTCAGTGAAGTTCCTTAATCCGGGGTAGCTCGGTTTCAGTTCCTCCCTCCTCCGAAACAGCGGCAGCGCGTTGGATCTTCTGTTGAATTCCTGACGGCTTTTTTTTTTTTTTTCCTGCAGAAATGGTTCAGCTGGATCATTTGGATAGTGGGCCCACCGTGACCTCCGAGAATGACAGCTCCCATGAGGTAAAGCCATCGGCCCGAGTTAGTGTTCGCATTTGTTTGGTGTCCTTGGCCTCTGTTTGTCAGAGGCTGGAGAGAGAGATGGCAGAAGACAAATCGCTTGATCGTGTCTTCGGTCAACCCTCTCTGGGGCACCTGGTGCTGGCCACTGTCGGCAGACAGGATACTGGGCTAGAAGGACCATTGGTCTGACCCAGTACGGCCGTTCTTACGTTCTTATTTCCCACCCAGCTTCTCTGACGTGTAGCCAATTAACTCTTGGCCTCCGGCATACAGACCAGGCGCTGCCTTGTTCCTGGGGAGCCGGGGGCGTGAATTGTCCATCTGTGGAGGGTAGCCGAGCGAGTGTTCCCCAATGCTAGCCAGTTGTGGAGCCTACGCTGCCTGTATAGTCACTGTGCCAGGAGAGCAAACCACTCTTGTGTGTGTCTCATGCAGAGCCGGGCCTCGGCTGCCACCTCTCGGCGGAAACCCTGTGAGAGCGACTTTGAGACCATCAAACTGATCAGCAATGGGGCCTATGGGTAAGTGGGAGAGGGGGCTCGGAGGCTGAGCAGTCCACCAATTGCGACCGCACACACTGGCTCTTTTGGCCAGCGATCTTAAGTGTGAACGAATCCCCCACGCACGGGGCCAGGCGTGAGCAAGCCCAGCTGCCCTGGGAAGACGGCACCGTGCCGGTGAGGGCAGAGAGCAGGTCCTGGCGCATCGCTTACAGTGTCGGTCTTGGCACGTTAGCTCGACTCCATTGAGTGGGTCGTTGCAGCCACTGCCCATCAATCCTTCTGGCGAGTGGCCGGGGGGGGGGGGC